TCCCGCCCCGAGAGCATTCCCCCAGCACCCACTTTAGCGGTACATCTGAACCACGGCTCTGACAGGCCTGCTGCTTCCTTCTGCGCCAACAGCCACACAATGGACCTCTTTTTTTGGACAAAGCCCTTCAAATGCTCGGATTCAGACGGACTGAGTCACGGAACTGAGCAAACACCACACGCCCATTCCTGCCGGAGCCCTGCGCGCTCTGGGAAACAATCCCACGTCTTCTCCGTGCCCGGCAGAGTAGAGAACTATTTTCATTAGAGTTGTGACCTATGTGAAAGGGGTGACGGGACGGCAGGCTCTGCCAGCGAGCGGCTGTCCTTTGGCCTCGTGGCCTCTGAGCAGCGGCGGCAGGCGTCATTTCAGACAGGTGAGTCCCCTTCCAGAGGTGCTTGGCCCTACAACCACAGAAGCTGCAGGTGTGCCCTGGTAGGCGTGTGACATTCAGCACAGAGAGGTGGACAGGGCCACGTGGAAAACACGCGATGCAGATTCATCCCCACAATTCGCTCTCTCGCTCTCTTTTTAAATATATATTAATTGATTTTAGAGAGAGAGAGGGAGACAGAAACATCAATCAGAGAGAAACATCGAACGGCTGCCTCCTGCACGCCCCCTACTGGAGATCGAGCCCACAACCCCGGGCATGTGCCCTGACCGGGAATCGAACAGGTGGCCTCTTGGTTCACAGGTCGACGCTCAACCGCTGAGCCACACCAACCGGGCCAATTAGCTCTCTTTGAACGCGTCTCTGTAGAGGGTGTCACGTGAGCACAGAGAGGTGAGCATGTTTCACAAAAATGTCAGTGTGTGTGTGTGAGCCGCCCACACACTGTGCGCAGAGGTGGGGGGGTGGCAGAAAGGGGGTGCAGGAGGGATGGGAGCAGGGGCAGAGCAGGAAAGTGGGCTGAGGCTGTGGGAGGCACTGACTTTCCCTCTCCCTTGTAAGACTCAAAATAACTGCCCCCCACCCGCGATTGTTCTGCGGAGGCTGTGAGATAACCAGAGGCGTTGGAAACGGGTCCGTCCTCACACCGACTTCAGGCCCGAATGCCTCTCCGCAGGGGTGTTCTAGTTTGACGTTCCTGGTGGCAAAGATCTGAGTCTGACATGAGGAGGGCAACGGGCCCCAGACACGGGCACGTTCCCGGGGGGAGGGTCTGGGTCAGAGCCCCGGGCGAGACTGTGCAGGGGAACCGTGGCCGGGTTCCCGTTTCGCGGCTGGATTCCCGCTGCCGCGGTCTGAAGGATGGGACCTTCCCTGTGGCCGCAGGAGCCAAGCTGGCCTGGAGAAGAGCCGTGGAGACATCTCCAGGGTTTGCCAAACTCAACTTTGGTTTCTAAAAAAGTTTCCCACCTACTTCAGATTCCAAATGTGGAGAAGATGAAATAAGGCCAGCTGGCCCGTCTAGACTGGTTTTCTGGACCCCAGGGGGACGGCGGATCACTCCTCGTTGTGGGGACTGTCCTGGGCATCGTGGGGCGTTGAGCGGCATCCCCGGGGGCCAGCAGCACCCCTTAGTTGTGACAAATAAAACTGCCTGCAGACATTGCCAAACATCCTTGGGGGGACAAATCTCCCCGGACTGAGAGTCAGTGGTTCAGGCTAAATGTGGACAAGCTCAGTTTTCATCGGGCGAAGGCAGCCATGTACCGTAAGGACCATGTGGCATTTGGGGGGCAAGTCGGCCACCTTCCCCTGCCTTGAACAGCCAGAGGGCGACGCAGAAGTCTGACAAAGGCAGACCTTTTACCTCAAAACCTAGCTTTATGGCTTTAGGGAGCCATAAAACTATTTTAAAAATAATCCTGGGAAAAAAATCCTGGGGCACCTACCCCAAAAAAAAAAAAAAAAAAAAAGTAAATCAGAAGAGAGGGACCTTCCCACTTGAACCCGGACTTGAAAGAGGTAAAACTGACGCCAGGTGTGCTCTGGGGCTCTGCAGTCTGCTCCAGCCCTTCCCACAGCGGGTGCCCCGGCCCCGGCCGCAGGCCCCCTTCTGCCCCGGCTGTGGGCGCCCTGCCTCCCTGCCCACAGAGCACCTGGCCTTGTTGGCTCTGGAGGGCGTGTCTAGTCCTTCGGGCCTCAGAGAATAGCGGCAGGTGTTTTAAAATGACCGTCCCTTAACTTCACAGTCATATTGACAAAAAGAGGTGTGTCGGCCTGAACTTGGGTCCAGTGTTTTTTGTTGT